TCTCTTTATTCTGTGTGTGTGTGTGTGTGTGTGTGTGTGTTCTATTTATAGAACAAAAAGTCTATGAGGCATGGTCACTCGTCCCACTCATCTCTTTGTCTCTCTCTCTCTCTCTCTCTGTGTTCTATTTATAGAACAAAAAGTCTATGAGGCATAGTCACTCGTCCCACTCATCGAAGTCGTCGGGGGACAATAAGAGCATAGCCAGCGGCAGCATACTCTCCGGTATGTGTTCGATTGGCGTCTCTTCGGTGTGGTATCTTTAGTCACACTTGTCTAATGTTTGGCCGAAGTGGCTGAGGTGGGAGTATGGGGTGATTCGAATGTGATGTATGCGATAGGACCCCATCTGTGATATGGTATCTATGGTAATGGGGGGTTGACCTTGCAGCATGGTGTTGGGTCAGGCATTGTGTTTACGAAGCTTTCAGGATCACGCAACACGCTCAGGGTCTGTATGCGCTTGGCTTTGTTTTGATTATGAGTTTGTAGTCGATGGGAAATACATCGATACGGAGTGTGTGGGTCAAGACACCAACTATGTAACTATAGACACTTAGTCACCAACTATGTAACTGTAGCTACACACGTCACAAACTATGTAACTATAAACATAAGTCACCAACTAATTAAGTACAGGTACATAGTCACCAACTATGTAAGTAACGACATAAGTCACATACTATGTAACTATAGTTATCAACTGTGTTAACTGTAGTCATTAGTTTTAGGGTGTTATATTTGCTACAGATTAAACTCGAATGCAGTCATGCTTGTATTATGAATAGTCAAGCGTTCTCGTAGTTCGTATTGCTGCAGTGTCAGTGTCAGTGTCAGTGTCAGTGTCAGTGTCAGGATCATTTCCAACGTCTCAGACTTACTAGGACGGGAGTGGTAGGTGTCCAGTCTCATTCGACTGTATTGCTATGTTTCTGTCATTGTCACACGTTTTCTTATCACAGATCAGGTCTATGTATTTTATTTTGTCGTGTAGTTTCACTAACAATACCTCGAGGATATGTTCACTTATCTATAAGTATAGAATATGTTCACTTATCAATAAGTATAGGATATGTTCACTTATCTATAAGTAGGATATGTTCACTTATCTATAAGTATAGGATATGTTCACTTATCTATAAGTATAGGATATGTTCACTTGTCTATAAGTATAGGATATGTTCACTTATCTATATGTATGTCTATATGGCTGTTGTGTATCTGTGGCATACTCACACTTTTTGTAAACACACCTCAATAGGCGAGGCAGAGGATTTCGACGTGGAGTCCGTGGGAGAAATCATCAACGCCAACTCGGATGTCTGGATGGAAGAGAAGGTACTATGCTCATGCACCTACCACACACTGACATTAACACATAGACAAAACACACACTGACATATACATATGCATATGAATATGCTTATACATATACATATACATGCATATACATATACATCTACATAGACATGCATATACATATACATATACATCTACATCCACATATACATATATATATATACATATACATTTTCATATACATGTATATATATATACATATTCATATTCATATACATATACATATACATGTACATGTCCATATGCATATACATAGACATCTGCACATACATTACATATACATATATATAAACATATACATATACATATACATATACATATACATATACATATATATATATACGTATACACATATATAAACGTATACATGTGCATATGCATATAC